AGCAGATCAAGTATGGCGCGTGCCTTAGGGAAAAATCCCCCGCGCCTTATATACGTGATTAGGGTAATACCAGGAAAGAAGAGGTCAAAATGAAAATCAGTGCAGTTTACTTCGAATTTTCTGTCTCACCTGCGTGAAATTCTTGTTGAAGACCCAAATTTCACCATTTTGAGTGGGTCTTGGTACACCGTGACCGTTGTAGTGAAACAATACACGCTCGTCTTTGGCATTTCGCCTCATACTCATACAAATTTTGCGAACATCATCGCCCGTCGGGTCAATTACAGATTTATACCTGCAAGTCAAGCTCATACCAGCAAAAAAAAAACATAAAAAGTAAAAGTAAAAAGAAACAGAAACAGAAAAATGCAATGAAAAAGTCATAGAATAACTGCATACCTTGCTCGCGGTTGCCAACGTTCGTAACTCTTCTGCAAGGATGTCGCAATCTTGTACGCGGCTTTTTGTGGACTGCAACTGTACGGATCGACCCAAGCTTCTAGCCTTGCGCGCGCCGACGGCTTCGGCACCGAATCCGGCGGATCTACTCCTACAGTAGAAATAGTTCCAACTCGTATTGTTAAAAACGGTCACACCTAAAACGAAAGGCGAAAATGCATATAAAAGCAAAAGTGACTTGTCTACACACCTATGTGCAGGCATAGTACAAGCGCGACTGAAACTGTCTTCATCCGCTCTTTGCTGTATCGTCTCCTACAACACATCCAAATACCGAATTTATTTCCCGCGGTAGTAAACTAGCGCTTACCAGATGTCTCGCTCCTCACCCTCTTCTTTTATTCCGAGGATATCTTCTACGTGTCGAGATTCTTGGAAATACCGGGTTATCAATTTATCGGTCTTCTAAAATGGAGGACTCATACAGCGCCCAAGGCTTTCATATCAGATACCTACCCCGAGTATTTCCATCTCACTATGCACTTTCGACCTCATTATGGATAATGAATGGAGAAAACGAACTGAAAAGAAAGTGGATGTTTGAGCTATGTGTGAAGCTCATATAACGTGCGATGAGAGACGAAAATAAGTGCAGTTTCGGTAGTGGAACAAATTTATACACGAACAGAAAACCAAAAAACATGTGCGTAGGAGAGAGTGACTCGTGACGGTGGCAGAGTTGAATGCGATAGGAGCGCGTAATTGCAGTACGAAAAAACGGGACACGCCATGTAGAAGCAAGCTGGAGCTTATGATAAGTAATCTTCGAAGTTGTTGCAATTTTGGGTGAACGCTTTCATGGTGGAAGCACGTAAAACCCGGGGAAGTTGATCCGCTCAGAGAAAAATGAAAACAAATTGCCTACATGTCGTCCAAACACTGTTAAACAGCCGACAAATGTTGGAGGTGAAAGTAGATATGATGATGAACAAAAACATGAATTTTCGAATGATTTTGCTTAATGTGCCCAAAATAAATATTTATGGTAGACTAAACACCCATAATAAACTGGTAGTAATCATATTTTTTATAAGCTTCTCTACTCTTCTTCTAGCTTTCTAAGTTCTTGGTAAGGATAAGAAGGCAGAATGGGGATGTAATCAATGAAGGCTGGGATATGATAGATTATCGCTTCCAAACTTATGGTAGAAGCCAATCTTTGTATTTGTTGACTAGATCCGGTGATACTGCATGTATTATATCGCTGGAAAAGCGTCTCATGAAACCGCAAATAAACTCTTCCCATAAAGCAACACTGAAGCGACACTCGAAACCACAATCCTTCAGCCGGAACCTGATACTTTTTGCATAAAAAACGTATTTGAACAGTAGCAAACACATAGAGGGTTCAATTTCAAAGCAATTGCTTGTCAAAAATAAATTCAGTCGTTTTCAACGGGTTGATGTCACGGACTAATTTATGTAAGAATGCATGCTATCACTGGGAAGAGTAAATGAGGTAATCGGATGGTAAACTTTGCTCATTGAGAGAAAACTTCTCATGGCGAAATGGTGCAGAAAGGCTTAGATCGAAAATTGAGAGTTCAAAAAAGTGATATTTTAGGAAATTAGGCACATAAACGCATAAATTTTACTTGTGACGAGATTTGAAAACTTGATTGTA